AATTGTCGTGTTCTTGAGCGTTTACTAGTTCACTCATATCTACTCTTTGTGAGAGTTTTATTCCTGAGTGTTTAAGTGTTTTCATACACTTTAAGGGAGTTTGTTCCCTTGTTGTAAACTCGAAGGAAGTTCCTTGTTCCTTCGTGAGAAGTCTTGGAGTGCGGTATCTCCGAGCAAAGGTGTTGAGGCTCGTGTGACTTTGGTTCTCAAGTTGTATCGGTTTGTTAAGCACCCTTAAGCTTAACGGAGTTAGTGTAGCTCGAGAGAGTCTCTCGGGGGGCTGGATTAGCCACACGTTGTGGTGAACCAGGATAAAATCTGGTGTGCTCCTTCTTTACGCTCTTTACTTTAACGCTCTCGTTTTAATTTCCTGCAATTTTGTTTTAAACGCTATTCACCCCCCTCTAGCGTTGGGCCTTTATTCTAACAATTGGTATCAGAGCCTTACTCTCTATAAGACTTAACCGTTTGAGAGAAACGATCAATGGCTTCTACTCAAAGTTCATACGCGGGTTTAGGTGAAGGGAAATCCACCACAAGGCCTCCGTTGTTTGACGGAACGAACTACACCTATTGGAAGGAGCGGATGAGAATTTACATCCAATCCACCAATTTTCTCCTTTGGAGAATTATCAAGAATGGTGAAGACGTGCCAATGAAGAAGGTCGGGGAAACCAACGTTCCTAAGACCGAGAACGAGTATGATGCACAAGACATCAAGAAAGTGGAAAACAATGCCAAGGCCATCAATATCATCTATTGTGCCGTAAACCCGGATGACTACCGGAAGAGATCTTGTTGCACCACCGCAAAGGAAATGTGGGATAAACTAGAAATCACCTACGAAGGTACGGATCAAGTCCGAGAAGCTAAAATTGATTTTCTAACCCATGAATATGAATTGTTTCGTATGAAGGAGAATGAGAAAATCGATAAGATGTTTGAACGATTCTCCAAAATCGTCAACGATCTCCATGCTCTCAAGAAGACGTACACGGACAAGGAGCTTGTGAGAAAAATCCTGCGAAGTCTCACACCGGAGTGGCGGTCCAAAGCCGATGCCATCCAAGAGTCCATTGGTGTCACCAACGTCACCATTGACGGGCTTAGAGGTAACCTCAAAACCTATGAGTCTACCATTTT